GCCACTGGCTCTTACCTCAAACTCAGTTCAAAAATGGCGATCCTGCCTCCAGGAATCTCAGAGGGAGACTGTGTCTGAGAGCTGTCTTCCCCCTTCTTATATTCCTCTCTAGGGCTGGGACTAAAGGTGTGTGTCATTATGGCTACTGAGATTAACGGTGCGTGTTACTATAATCTGGTCTGTAAGGCTGACCAGAGGGACTGTTTTACTCAGATCTTCAGGCAGTCTTTATTTATTAAAATACAGTTGAAACGCCACTACAGATCAGCTGGATGCCAGGAACTGAACTGGAGAGGGACGGAGAAAAAGAGGGAGAGAGCTAGAGTCTTAAAAGAACTCATTACACTAAGGTTTCAGGAACACATCATTTAGTTGATAACAATTCTTGGGGAAAACTATTCTTCAGAAAGAACGGAACACTACACAGTTGTGAGAAAGTATGGCGGTAGAGGGCACTAATGATTTTGTTGTCATTTAGAGGAAAATTTAAGCTTTCTTCTAAAACAGAAATACCATTAAAGTCATTCTTCTAATTATGTATCAGCACTGTTAAGAGATTACTTTTCCAATATTTCAAAAGATTAATACTAGCTATCAAAACACTAAGAACAAACCAATTTAAACTTATATAAATTTGTATCCTGTTTTAAAGTTAAATTTCTACCAAATATGATAGGACAGTCTCCTAATAAATTTCATGATTTTATCCTTTAAAAGAATTCCATTTTAAATTTACTATGCTATTGGTTTATGCATATGAATGTTTTGCCTGCATGTATGGTTGTGCAACATGTCTATGCACAGTGTTCACTGAGGCCAGAGAGGGCAACAGATACCCTGGAACTGGAGTGACAATTATAATCCACTACATGGGGCTGAGGATCCAAACCAGGACCTCTGAAAGAGTAGCCAGTGCTCTTAATTACTGAGCCACCTTTCTAGCCCCAAATGTTCTTTATTTAATATGTGTGTGTGATGTGTGGTGTGTGGTGTGTGTGTGTGCGCGCGTGCACAAAAGAGAGGAGAGAGAGAGTTATGCTTAGAGGTTTTAAGTATCATTTTTATTTTTAAAACTAACTGCTTAAATGTGCCTTGCCCTCTCAGAAGATTGGGGGGGGGGGGGTTATGTGGAGGGAATAGGAGGAATGGAGGGAGTAGAAACTTCGATTGGTATGTATAATGAAAAAGATTGTTTTCTTTTAAAAAAAAGAAATTAAATTTTAAAAACTAACTGCTTAAAGTTAGTAGTTCTATTTGGATTGTAGCTTAAAGTATTTGCTGTCATCCAGATGACAGACCATAGTGGCAGACAGATCTTTGTGAGTTCAAGACCAGCCTGGTCTCTATAGTTCCAGGCCAGCCAGGGTTAAAAGTGAGGACATAATGAGAACCTGTCTCCAAGCAGAAAGAGAGAATATCAGATTCTAGACAATAATATCAAAGCACTACCATGGCAAGGGGTAAACTACTCTGATTCTTGTAGACCAGGCTGGCCTCGAACTCACAGAGATCCGTCTGCTGTCTGCCTCTGCCTCCGAGTGCTGGGATTAAAGGCGTGCGCCACCACCGCTACTACTCTGATTCTAAACAATGTGCCAACCCTAAAAAAATGTTTAAGAGCTAAAACTGTAAATGGAAATATAAAGCATTATATTGTAGATTATAAACTCCTACTAATTTCTACTTTTTAGCACCAAACTCTACGCACAATTTAAAAAATAGGAGGCTGGAGATAGAGCTCAGTGGCTGAGACCTTGCTGCTCTTGTAGATAGCTAGAGTTAGTTCCCAGCGCCCACACTATCTGTAACTCCAGCTCCAGGATAGCCAACACTTTCTTCAGATGGCTGTGGGTATATGTACATACACACAAATGAAAATTTTTTTTCAAAGCAGTTTCGTCTTGTTACTTTTTTGTATAATTTTTTTTTCTTTTTTCGAGACAGGGTTTCTCTGTGGTTTTGGAGCCTGTCCTGGAACTAGCTCTTGTAGACCAGGCTGGCCTCGAACTCACAGAGATCCGCCTGCCTCTGCCTCCCGAGTGCTGGGATTAAAGGCTTGCGCCACCACCGCCCAGCTTTTGTATAATTTTTTATTGATATTTACTGAGTTCTACATTTTTCTCTGCTCCCCTCCCTG